TCTCAGGGCAGGGAGGCTCGGGGACATACAACATCCCGAGATAAGGAAGGGAGGAAGGTTGACATGATTGCACGCCGGGTCTATGCGGCTGCAGGACTCGGTTTGCGTATTTCAAATTACACTGGCACGTTACCAGTACTTCATTATGCAGAAGCTGGAAAACGTAGTCTCCTCCCTCCCGGACCAGCAGGCAGACCTAGCCAGGGTCTTCTTAAACGAAGCGAAGCAGGTGGCCATTCAACAGTTGTCTACGACGAGACATCATGTAGACACTGATTCTCAGGCCATGGTTAACGCTGTCTCTCTCCGACAACACGCGTGGCTCAGGAACTGCAATTTCCCTGAGGAAATGAAAAGGAGGGTAGAAGAAATGCCATTTGATGGCTCCGGTCTCTTCCACACGAAGACTGATTGGAAACTCAAAGCCATCCACGAGTCCCATATGACGGCGTGTCGAATGGAACTCCCACAAGTGAGACGTAAGTGGCCATGGTCCAGACCCTACGGGCGCCAGCAATATCAGCCTTGCCAGCAGTTCCACCAGCACCAGCAACATAGGAGGCAACAGCCCCACAGTGCTTCTCCCAGGGCCGCAGGCGGTTCGACGTCCCCGTTGATGGTCCCGGCGAACCAGTTCATCTCTCCAACTCCCACCTTCCCCTCTCCCCTTTGGGAGTTGGCTCCAAAGCCAACTTCCCATTTGGGAGGCCATTACATCTGATAAGTGGGTGCTGTCCATCATTCAGCTCGGATATAGAATAGAATTTGACATCATTCCACCATCGAGCCCTATCTGATTTACACCGCCATCTTTGGTTCTGTGTGATGAAGTCCTTCACCTTCTTCATAAGGGAGCAATTTGACAACTCTCTTGCACTGATGGGCTACATGGATTCTATTCTAGATATTTTACAGTCCCCAAACGGGACGGTGGTCTTCGACCTATCCTGGATCTAAGAGGAGTCAATAGATATATCAAACTGAGGAAGTTCCGGATGACCACTTTACAGAATATTCTTTCGTTGCTGAGGGAAGGAAATTGGTTCACCTCATTGGACTTGAAGGATGCGTATTTTCATATTTCTATCCATCCTTCCCATAGACGCTTCCTTCGTTTTGCTGTCAGATCCGATATTTTCGAATTTAATGTTCTACCATTCGGACTGACTACGGCACCGAGAGTCTTTACAAAGTACATGGCCCCGGTTTGCGCCCACCTGCGTCTCCAGAGTATACAGGTCTACCCCTATTTAGATGATTGGCTAATTGTGTCACGGACTAAAGATGACCTTTTAGCGGCTGTCCGCGTGACTTGTGCTTTGCTTGATGACCTCGGACTCTGTATTAACCTTAAGAAATCGTCACTTGTTCCCACACAGGTCATCGATTTCATCAGAGCACGTATCGACTTCACCCTGCAAAGAGTGTTCCTTCCTCCGTTCCGCAGGGCCACTCTGTGTACACACATTCATCGGATTTGACAAGAAAGGACAGTTCAAGCCATCACTATACAAAGATTGTTGGGACACATGGCAGCCTCAGTGGCCATTGTGCCACATGCAAGGCTCAGGCTCCTCCCGCTCCAATTATTTTTCAACGACTCATTCCATCCGCAGCGGGATCTACAAACCAAGCTTCTGTGGATTCCATCTTCGGTCCTTCACACCCTGACATGGTGGACTATTTCACGCAACCTATCTGTAGGCGTTCTGTTCCTCCCACCCCAACCGACAGTGACAGTGTACACCGATGAGTCTCTCATCGGGTGGGGTGTGACATGTGCAGGATTTCGGGTCCAAGGGGCATGGACCCGATGAGAAGCGGTGAGGCATATCAACTTCCTTGAGCTTCTAGCGATTTTCAACGCTCTCAAATCTTTCAAAACCGTCTTACACTGCCAAGTTGTTCAGATTGCATCCTACAGCATAGCTGCTGTTTTCTATGTCAACAAACAGGGCAGGACAAGGTCACCTCTCCTGGCCCGTTTGTCAATGCAAAGCTGGGACTGGTGCATTCCTCGGGGCATCATGATGCTGGCGGTTCATCTTGCGGGAACCAACAACGTGGAAGCCGACGCACTGAGCCGACAGATGTCAACTACCCACGAATGGGAGTTGGATCAAGTGGTTTGCAACCAGCTGTTCCAGTTATGGGGACAACCAGATATAGACTTGTTTGCAATCTGGTTGAACAGGGTGTGCAGACTGTTCTGCTCCAGAGCGGGGCTGGGATTGAACTCGAGGGGAGATGTCCTAATGATCGACCGGAACAACCTGTTCTTCTATGCGTTCCCTCCAATCCCACTCCTCATGAAGGTAGTGTCAAAGATCGTGCACGACAACACCACAGGAATCCTGATAACCCCATGATGGTCAAGGCAACCCTGGTTCACCACTCTCCTCACTCAGTCCAGAGGAATTTTTCAACGACTTCCACTTGTTCCTCATCTGTTAACACAACACAATGGGGCAGTCCAACACCCAGACCTACTCTCTCTGAAACTAACAGCGTGGTGCTTCCGATAGATCTGATTTTCCGTCGGCTCCGTTGCTGCCCCGATGGACGCAACCAACTCCTCCCTCGGAACCATCAAGGTCCACTTCGGGACTGATAGTGTTATCCTCGGAAATCCAGGCAATTCTCAAATCTGCACTACGACCTTCCACACGCAAATCATATTCAGCAAAGTGGAGAAGATTCTCTTCCTTTGCCAATGCCCATTCCTTCTCTCTGGAGTCGGCTTCGATCGAGAATATTTTGCAATTTCTATTCGACCTTCATCGCTCGGGACTCAAGCCTTCATCTATAAAGGTCTATACGGCTGCTATTTCACACTTTCTTGGCAGCATCCAGCGGTCATCTGTTTTTTCTCAACCCCTGATTCGCCATTTTCTTAAAGGGCAACAAAGTTTGCACTCGTCAGTTCGACCTGTTATGCCAACGTGGAGTTTTTCTGTTGTACTTCAGGCCCTTACAAAACCTCCATTTGAACCTCTGGCAACAGTAGATTTACGCCTAGTTTCATGGAAAATTGCCTTCCTTGTTGCAGTTACTTCAGCCAGGAGAACCAGTGAACTGTGTGCTCTACGCATAGACCCACCGTTCTTGAACTTTCACAAGGAAAAAGTCATTCTCCGAATGGACTCCAAGTTTCTTCCCAAAGTGGCTACACCGTTTCATTTGAACCAAGACATTGTCCTCCCTGCATTTTTTCCATCTCCGTCGACTCCGATTGAGCGCTCTCTCTATACACTGGATGTTAGGCGCTGTCTAGTTTTTTACAGGTCTCGCACAGAAGCGTTCAGGAATTCCAATAGACTTTTTGTCAAGTATGCTGCTCCAGACAAGGGTTTTCCAGTCTCATCTCAGCAACTGTCCAAATGGATTGTGCAGACCTTAGTCCTAGCATATCAACTGGCAAAGCTTGACTTGCCCTCACTTCCGAGGGGGCATTCTACATGAGCAGTAGCGACTTTGTCAGCCTTTGCAGCAGGGGTTCCAATTCAGGATATTTGCAAGGCTGCAACTTGGGCTGCTCTATGTACTTTTGCCTAGCATTATCGGCTTGATGTACGCGCCAGAGGGAATTGTTCTTTTGGCAGAGCCGTGCTCTCTGCCATTCTTCACTGATGACATCTTCCCTCCTCCAAGTCTGGTAAGCTTGCTAATCACCCATATGTGTGATGCACAGAGGCCACGACGAAGAAGAGCAGGTTGCTTACCTGTAACTGATGTTCTTTGAGTGGCCATCTGTGCATTCACACAACCCACCCGCCGGCCCCGTTCGGTGTCGGTGAGTGGACTATTTTTTTCTTACTGTTGGTTCTGTGTTATTCCTATGGAACTGATTTTTTTCTTGCTGTGATGCTGTTTTTTGAACGTTAGGGGGTGAACGTCGGTCTTCAAGACTGAGTAAAATGGCGGACGCTCCGCTCTATTTATACTGCAGGGGGGAGGGGAGTGGAGCGTTTTCCTGCCAAAACCAGTTAGCTTTCTAATCTTCCGGCCTAGGCACTGCGCAGGCGCAGCACCCATATGCGTGAATGCACAGATGGCCACTTGAAGAACATCAGTTGCAGGTAAGCAACCTGCTCTTGCCACAATTCTGTTTATAATATGTAAATGCCTTTTTGTAAAGAATTAAAACCCAAGACGTTAATCTTCATCAATACACAGACAATCCATAGACCCTTTGGCAGTGATATTTATATGGAAAACCACATTAAAGAATGAATTAACAGGTAGATGAAAATTAAAGCAGTTAGGTCTACCTTTGGTTGGGTGGTTTGGGATGAAGCTAAATATTAAAGTACACATAATGCAGCTATGCGTGCTAGCTTGTTCTACATCCCTTGTTCTACAGCCCATGTAGCCCCCAGTTTGGATTGGGAATCTAGGAATGAAGGATTCAAACTACTTCCAACTTGATGTTATTTTTGTTTAGCAAAACAAACACAGGAGGGCTTCAAAAAATGAAAAAGAAGTATCCATTTGTCCAGTGGAGCTATCAATGTCTTTTTAACCTCTCACTGTCCCCACACTCCCAGTAGGGGCAAAGAAGTGGAATTTCTGAAAAACAGTGGGTGTAAGAAAGCTGAAAGTCCTCCCTTTCCTGGAGTACCCCTTACCTTATAAGAATCAGTGCTGCATGTGTTTCCAGAAAAGTAGAGAAACAAGCATTAAATGAAAATTTAATGAACATTAGTTGAGGTCTTAGTTTTGTTAACAAGAGCTGTTTTTCAAAGGCATGCTATTTAAGCAAGCTGCTAGAAACTGGCATGTTGCCTACCATAAAAGCAGTCTTCAGACATGGCCAGTGCATGGCCAGAACTGCTGGAAGAATTTACTTTTATCTGATATATTCTGGGGAAGCCAGCCATTGACTCTTTCATCTTTGATTTAGTAGGTATACTTTAGACTTGCTTTTTGAAGGATTAATATATGCCTCCCATTTTGTGTAAGAAGCGTGGAGAAATAACTCTTTCTTCTTACTTCAACAGAGACTATGATACAAACCAAATTAATTATATGTATGCACAGTACGTCAAGAATACCATGGAGCCTCTTAACATTCCAAATGTTCGACAAGACAAAAGATTTCCTTGGACTGTAAGTAGCATAAATCTGGATTTAGAAGTTACCAAAGAATGCAAGGTTGGTCATGTAGATCAGTTACAGGAAATACTGATTATTTTGACCTACGTATTCTAGATATTTTGGTTATGTAAGTTGGTTTTGCTCCTCTTATATTACTGATAATAATTATATACGTTTACAATTTATGTATTACTTATATAATTACTTGATTTATACTTTGTTGCAAAGGGCCTTGAGCATTGTGTAAAAATAACACTGATATTGTCTGCCTCTAGCTACTTTCTTGGAAGTCTCCCTTTCACTTTGACTGGGCTGCAAAAATCTTTACCACTACCTTTATCATCTGTTAGCCTTGCTCCCCACACTTTGCTATTTAACTTTCCAGGGCTGAGTGTGTGATAAAAAAACTGTTCAGTTTGATACATTCACAGTTTAAAGATCTGTACTTGGAATTGTATCCAGTTATTTCTACAGTGCTGAAAGACACTCTGAAACAAATGAGACTTAAATTAGGCTAATACTGGATACAGTCCATTGGATGCAAACCATAGAACTGCACTAATATTTATTCATATGGTATGGTATGAATCACATTTGAAAGGGGTTTGTGATTTTGTTAAGAGAAGAATTAAAGAAAAAATAGCTGAAATGTTGAGTAGTGCTTCACATAGTTGCACCCAGATAATTCCCATGCTGCACTTCTCGCAAATGTGAAGTTATGAACTTCCGGGCATTTGATAGTTGAGTTGTAAAGGGTAAGAAGGCCATCAGGTATGATATTGGACGATGGTCTGATGTTCATAACTGCAGTACATAAATCTTAATGAAAATCTGTTAGTGAATCCAGCTGCATTGATTCAGTTGTTAGCCTATTAATGGCTGACTGATTTCAGTGTGTCATCTCTTGGAATGACCAGTTCTGGATCCAAACCTTGATAGTGCAGTTAGGGCAACTCAAGGATAAAATAAGACTGTAAATGTACATAAAGCAAAAGGCTTGTACAATTGTATATCTTACTAACGGATGGCATCGGGTCATCTAATAAGGTTGGTAAGGTTTGTTTCTTTTCTTACCAGAATGGAAGTGCAGACAGTACAAACCAGAATATTGAAAGTTTGCTGTGCACACCAATTAAAAATGGAAAGAAGAATAAAGTGATAGGTACAATATTTTTGATGGCTTCTTATTGTTTTTTAGTTTGTCCACTAGATGATTGTGTGACCATTGGTCTAGCTGCAAATAAAATATATTCCTAGTATGCTCGCTAGGAGTTATGTTCCTAATGTTGGATTCCACTTTACTCCTAATTGTCCCTGATATCATTCATAGTTTCCATAATCACATGAATGCAAGATGTCATAAGATTTGCATCCTGATCTGAAATGCATGTTATTCTGTATTAGTTTGTGGAGGGGGAGATACTTTGGATCAACATATACATACTCAAGAATTTCCCTGGTGTTTGTAAGGCTGCAAAACAGAATACCAAAGTTTGTACCCAGTGCTTGTTTTACACTAAGTGGAAATGCTTTAGCTTGTGCAAGGCAAGGTACCCAATTTTTGCCGGTCCCTTTGACCCCTGTAGTCCTTGGTGTAGTCCATGCTGTTTCTGAACTTCGGAGAGCCCTTTAGTATAGAATACACTGTACAGTGGTACATTGGCTCACAAAGTTAATCTGTTCCAGGACTCTGGTCATGACCCAAATTGGTCTTGAGCCAAGTTGAATTTCCCCATAAGGTTCAAAGTAAATAAGGTTGAGCCATTCGGTAACCATTTTTTTAAAAAGAAAAATGTGAAGCAAAGTGACAACAACAAAGATCGTGACCATCTCCCCTCCCACCCCAAGCACAAGCGCGACCATCTCCCCATCGCCCCCAGCACAACCGAGATCGCGCCTGTCATTCCTGCAGGCGCCCGTCATCCCGGCACACTGGGGGGTGGGGGGGAGAGACAGGCACAATCACAGGTGGGGTAGGAAGAGACGGGCGCAAACGGCGCGCTGGGGGACAGAGAGATGGACGTGAATTTGGTGTGCTGGGGGAGGGAGAGACAGGTGCGAACGGGGCACACTGGGGGAGAGACAGGCGCAAATGGGGCGCGCTGCGGGTGGGGAGATGGCCGCAATCATGCTGGTTTTGCAGGGGAATGGCCGGGATTGTGCCTGTCTTTCCTGCAGGAGCGTGCCTGTGATCACGCACATCTTCCATGCACGAACGCAACTGCGATCGTGGCCATTTCCCCACTTGGGGGTGTGGGGGAGATGGTTGTGATCTTGGTCGCCACCCAATGCGGAGTTCACGACCCACGTCAAAATTTTAATGAAATTTTTGTTCGTGACCCAATTTGTTCGTGAACCAAGGCGTTCATGAGCCAAGGCACCAGTGTATTATATGGCAGAGGGCAGAAGGTAGTACTCTAGGGGATATTGACTTCAATTCTCTGAAGCGCTTCCTGTAGGGCCAATGGTCTGGGATATTGGAAGTTGTCCAAAACAGGAGCGCTGCAGCAGGCTAGAGGGTTTGTGAAAATTGAGCCTTGTGTACACAGAAGAGCTTCTGTCACCTCCTTTGGACTTTTCTACACCAGCTTGTTAATTGCTGTATCTAATTTTGCTTTTTACAGCATTGAGATCTAAGCTGTACATAGCAACATAACTATATAATTATACATAACTATGTAATTAATCAAATTATTTTGTTTTTATATTGTGTTTATTATTGTGAGCCGCCCCGAGGCTTCGGCGAATGGGGCAGCATAGAAGCTTCCTAAATAAATAAATAAATAAAATAACTTCTTAGTGATACTGTGTTACAATAAAAGAACTCAAAATGTACCACTATTTTCCCTCATTCTAAAATAATGTGCCATTTTCCTGATCTGTGAAAAACAGCAACAACAAAGTGCAGGAAAGTCCTCTGGAAAAACAGTAGCAAAACTGGAGGATCACAAAGTCATTTAAAGAGCCCATAAACAGCCATGAGGAAGGAATGATGAGCACACAATTAATGCCTTGTATAGAACAGCTTTTTGTGGTCTTTGCAGCTGTGAGTGAAGTCCTTGTTTGCCTAGGCCTTTAAAATAACTTTTGTTTTTAAACATTGGGCTCTAGGTTTGTGATTTACTGTATATTTGTGCCACAAGCTGTTTTTCCTACCTCCTCCTGCCCTGGGAAAATAACATTTTATGTTGCATTTTATTAACACAATCCATTCCATTCAGTGCAGTCCCCCAACCCTACAGGGCCTGCTATAAGGAGAAATGGACATGCAAGTCCACTTCCACCAGTCTCATTAATTCTGGCTTCAACCAGACAACATATGTTTTTGGGCAGCCTATGCAAATACAGTAAGTTAAAAAGTGTTATAATCAGGCAGCCTTTTGGTTGTTCAAATTGTGATGTCAGTCACTTCGATTGAATTATCCTGGTTGAGACAGAATGTTTTATTATTTGTTGTTACGATACATGCCCTGTGTTTTATACCCTGCTCTTCAATCAAATGTTCAGGGCAATTTAAAATAATATTTGAAAAACACAACAAAATAGCAGATAAGTACATAAAATAAGGCTTGGGACCTGGATACCTAAAGGAACGCCTGCTTCCATATTTGCCCTCCTGCCCCTTGAGAGCCAGTGTGGTGTAGTGGTTAAGAGCATGGGACTGGAACTCAGACGATCTGGGTTCTAGTCCCCACTCGGCCATGGAGCCAACTGGGTGACTTTGGGCCAGTCACAGGCTCTCAGCCCAACCTACCTCACAGGGTTGTTGTGGGGATAAGATGGAGGAGGAGGAGAATGATGTAAGCTGCCTTGAGTCCTTTGAGGAAAAAGGCAGGATATAAATCGAAAAATTAAAAAAAAATCGAAAAATAAATAATCCTCTGGGAGCCCTCCGTGAGAGATACCAGGAGGCAAAGTACCCGGAGGAGGGCTTTCTCTGCGATGGCGCCCCATCTGTGGAATGCGCTCCCCAGAGAGGTCCGCCTTTTTATTCAAACAATATTTTAACAATGTTTAATATTTATAGGTTTTAATTGTGCAGCTGGGGTGTTTCCGGATTTTAACTGTATTTGTATTATATTTATTTATTTATTTGTGTGAGCCGTCCCGAGGCTATATAGCAAGGGGACGGCATACAAAAACTTTAAATAAAAACAAATAAATAATAATAATAATTTCTCCATCATTTACCCTGCTTTCATTAAGCTTGTGTCTGTATGAAAGATACGTCATCCCCTGGATTGTTTCAGTCAGCTCTTTCTTTACCTTATGTAATTCTAAGCTACCTTTATGAGACAGAGTGGGCAGAAAATCATCCTCTGCCTGAAAGAAGGTACCCACCTCTTCTTCCCAGCCCAGCCTCACATTCAGACTGATCAAAATGCTACAGATTCTTTTTCAGGGTTGTATATAGCTATGTTTGAGTGGTAACCACTTACCTAGAATTTCCTCCAGGTGACTGGACAGAGAAAGTTGTGTAAATTAGAATAGAAAGACCTGGCTGTTAATGCCATAATTTGAGATGTCTAACATGAATATTAATTGTCAGGACAGCTGAGAACTCTTCCCTGGCCTTGTTTTCAAGGCTCTTTCTTTCCTTTTTCAAGCTTCATAACTGTTTCCTTAAAGGGATCTGGATGAACAGGCCTCTGCATCATGGAAACAGCATTCTATTTAGAGACTGTTCGTTGGAAATATAATGGAGCATTCCCACTCTAATTCGCACACTGTGTTATGAATGAATATTTTAAATGTAACTGGATGTATCCAAAGGTGCTCTTATGCTCACATCTTGCACCACAGTGTTGCAAGAGGAAAAACACACACACATGAAAATTATAAACTATAGCTCAATCTGCATTAACTCCTGCAGAAGTTCTTGTCCAATATTTGCAAAACACCACTAGCAGCCATTTTCCTTTATGATTGTTTGGCTCTAATCCAGTGATAACATAGTTAAATAACTCGAGACGTCATCCAGTTTTGTGGCTGCTTCACTGACTAAAGTTACATCCTTCAGTGAACAGTTGCTGTATAAGCAATTGCTGTTACCACAAGAGAGGACAACACTGAAATGCTGAAGATGAGTCCTTATGCACCTCAAAGGCAGCACCATTGTAATGACAGGAAAGTTGGGTGTCACAATTGGGCTGACTATATGAAGTATATACTCTAATGGTAGCTTCAGCATTACCCACAACCTTAATAACGCACAAACTGAACCTCCTGTTCATATCGCTGAAATTAGCTATTTCTCCTTCTGTCTTGTTCATCCCCAGTTCATTCTTTGTACTTCCTTATAATATATAAATGCATACATAATTATTGTGCATTGTAAAAAGACAGTTGAGCCAACAGTTTTCCTTCAGGGGTAATTAATGATCTGATCTATAACATTTCATGAATGTTGCTTCTCTGAGATGCTCAAAACTGACTAAATTAGCCTGAAGTGCCTAATCTTGAAAGTTAAGCAAGGTCGGTCAGGCCTGGTTCTGATCTGGATGGGTGACTTAAAATGCTGTGAGCTGTCCAGAGATCTTTGGCTATAGAAATGCAATGTAGTAGTAGTGGTGATGATGATGATGATGATGATGTAGATGTAGTATCAGGAGAATTGTACCTATACTCACCCCTTAATGCTTTGGGAAAAATACTCCAGAAGGGAGATTTAATTAGGAGGGAATCTGTGCCATGTTAGGCGTTTTGTATGATGATTAATTTGAGAGTTGAATTCCTAGTGAGGTGTTTGTGGAAAAGTGTCACCAAAGGCATTAAGAGCAAATGGCATCTGGAGACTTACCTGGATACAGCAGATAGTCTATGGGCTTATGAACCAACAATGTTTTCTTTGTAGTTAACTTACAAAAATACCTTGTCCTTTTTCAAATAAGGATATACAAGCTCTGTATACTATTAACTTGTCTTTCATTACAATTCTTTTGGCATGCTTACAAAAATCTAATTAGTTTGCAAAGGAGAAGTTTTCTTTAGGAATCACATCAAGCTAAAATAATAATAAATATTCTAAAGGGAAAAAATCAGAGGACAATTGGAGAAGGATAGAAAAGAAAATACATGGTTCAGTTTTTGGTCATAGTAGCTACCTTGAAACTTAGGTTTATTTATTATATAGATTTATATACTGCTTTCTATTGAGCTATTGTGAAAAATTTGATATTTGTATATTCTGGACCAAACCTCTGTACACACACATCATTTATAAAACCCAAACATGACTTCAGGATCTTAAAAGGTCCGTGGCCAATGGTAGAATACATACTTTCCGTTTTTGAGAACTTGAAGTGGAAACTTTAATTTGCTCATTAACCTTACAATTCTTTGAAAAAAGAAAGGATGTTAGTTTTCTTTTGTTTAAATGTGTGGTTAACTTTAAGCTATTGTATATAAATTTTTAGTTTTGATAATGATCTAGGAGTTTGTCAGCTGGCAAATAAGATGGAAGAAAATTCTGGCAAAATAAAGGCATTCAACAGAAATGATGAACAGTTTCTGGAAGCTTTTGTCATCTTCTGCGGCTTGGGTATCCAGAACACACAGATGTATGAAGCTGTGGAAAGAGCCATGGCGAAGCAGATGGTGACATTAGAGGTGAGGCTAAATCAAGGCAGCCTTTATGCAACTCACAGCTGCTTCTTTACTGGAACTCCCTTGTTGAATTTAAGGCAAGCCAAACTTGGCTGAGTGATCAGTTCAGGATCTCTCTCCTTTTCGCTCGCTCTTTGCTTCTGTGTTTCCATGTGCTTTGCAAGGTATGTGGTAGTTATTGCTTATTAACTGCTCCCCTGGGATTCAGCAATGGACACAAATGCTGCCTTCCCTGAATGTGCTGCATAGTCACTGAAGTAGGTGGCTTATCCCATTGTGCAGAAAAAGTACATGGTTATAGACATTGGAACATCATCTTCTCTTTTTCTGAGGCTTTTTATGATGTTTTGGCTCAGCCAAAGACGTACCTGGAGCAACAAGAAATTTGATGCTGTAAATTTTGGATCCACCTGCACCTTCCAAGTATAGAGAATATAGTATATCTTTATTATTTATTTATTTAGCAAACGTCTGTGTTGCCCCATTCGCCGAAGCCTATCTAGAATGCAGGTTGTGCAATAAATTACATTCTGAAAAGAAGGTTCTGCATTTACGTATCTAGCATACCTTTGGCTGTGGTGGCACTTGGATTAATTAAAGTTCTTTATGAAAATTAGCTTGCACGGCTGTGTGTTCCATATTACTAACACAGGTACTTACCCTTTCAAGGAATAAAAAAGGCCACATGGTCAAAGACTGAGGTTATGAGTCTAATTGCACGTGAGTTAAACATGCATCCAACCCAAACAGTAGAGTTCTATTCTCCCTCATTCACACCCCTAAATAATAAGTTTCGATTTGTTCATTTCTATGAAAAATATTTTCTCTTAGACTGACAAAACCTCTGCCAAGATTTTCTTAAGACAAGATTTCTTTTATGCCTGTGTTACAAACTCTTGGAAAAAGCAGATTTATTATGACAACCTTGTCAAGGTTATAATTATAGCCATGTTGTAAGCTATTTGTCTTTCATATAGGGGCATGGAAGCTTTTCAAATCTTTTTTTTAATAAAAGAAAAGAGTTCTTTGCTCATTTAAGGCAACGATGTGATTTTTTTCCATTGCTTGCTGTCCTCAGAAATCCTTCATGCTGGGAAGGATTGGTAAACTGCTCATACAAGTCTCCATCTTGTGCTAACATATAAAGAAACTAAGCACAAAGCTTTCTATGTTAAAGTTACTAGGCCCCTTTTGAGGTGTTGGTTGTTTTGGTGTCCAAAATTTATAACTAGTTGCTGTATTATTAGGGGAGACTAAAGTTGCAAGACTTAACACAGACTATTTCCATATTCTTGCTAACATTGGAATCTTCAAAGCATGGCTATTGCTTTAAATGACATGGATATTACATTTACTGGCTAAAGTCCACTGCAGATGTCCTGTTAGTTATCTATTAACCACTGATGGAAACATAACTATTCTAATGAATGTGTAGCCTCTCCTCCAGTGTGAAAATGCTTTTCTCTTGTTTTCATAACTTCTGAACTGGCATTCATGTTAATAGGCTTTATTTTGTATATCCATTTCAAACAATGGTTTTAAATCCTGTGGAAAGACCCAGCTGGTGTCCAGCTGCTAATGCCATTTCTGCTGCACTAGAATAGGGGTAGGGAGTGTGGTACCAGTATATGCCAATATACCACTGGGCACCTTTATTGGCACAAGCAAGGTGTCTTATTCCTCCCATGTGTTTTCGTACCTGCTGTTGAGATTTCTGTGAAATACGTTTCTGTTGGTGCTGTGAAAACTGCATTCAAAGGAATGGTTCAGTGCATTGCAGCTCAAACTCCAACCCTATCTTGTACTCAGTCTTCCAGCAGCTCCCTTGTCCTTTGCCATGGTTTCCAGGACAACTGCTTTATGGTGGTGCCCAGAACAAAGAACAGCTTCCCAAATTTTCAAGTATGCCCGCAGCTCAACTGAAAATGTTGGCTTACCCCATGTTAGAACAAAGCAATGTCAGTGTCATGTTTGTGCAGCCCTTATTAGCAAAATGAATTTCCCTGAAAAGTACTGTGCTGTCAAGTTGTTAGTGATGTTCTGTGAGCATTAATTTCCTGTAGCACAACCTGACATCATTGGATCCTTAGCTGAAGAGAAAACTTAGTTAATATTAACCATAAATAGTGGTGCTGCACTTGTAATGCTAAGCCACAGTTGAGATAAACAAGTGGAAATAGAGGAGAGTTGTTCCTGGGAATCAGATGGGACTGTGCACACGTTCTGCAAGCAATGGTTTGTGTGGATCTAGCAGATACTTGCATTAAGGCTGAGATTTGTATACACAAGTTAAGGGCTTCTGCAGTCCCCTACAACAGGGGAAGGCAACTTGTGACTCTACACATGTTTTGCATCTGCAATTCCCTACACCCTTTTGGCTATGCTGGTCAGGGTTGATGGGAGTTATAGGACAAAATATGGAGTTATAGAACAAAATATCTGGAGAGACACAAGTTGCCCATCTGTGACCTACAATAATAGAATGCCTGGTCCTTAATACTTTCCTCTGGCTTATTGATGAAACAATACAGTAATCTTGCATTGTTGGTTCAGCTATTGTTAGAAGATCCAGCAGACTCTCTCCAGTATCGGAGGCAATAAGTCTCTGTACACCAGTTGCTGGTGAACTGAGGCAGTAGGTTGCTTTCACATTCATGTCCTGCTGGTTGGCTCTTGTGCAAACAGAATCTTGAACTTGATGGGGCCCAGTCAGATTTATCAGGCCTCTTCATATTTTCTTAACTGTGGCTCCCAGGGAACGATGTGTTTTAACAATGGAGTAACTACTTCTGTGCTTCTGCATTCACGCTCTCCCTATTTCTTTAGCATTTTTATTTTTATATGGATTTGGTTTCCTTTTTCTGTAGGTCCTTTCTTATCATGCTTCAGCTGCTGAAGAAGAAACTAGGGAACTTCAGGTAACAGCGGTAATGACATTTTTTGTTCTACTACTTTGTATTTTATGATATTCCATGTCTAATTGAGGTTGCTGGTACTTTCGGCTTATAATGATCCAAACTATTATATATAGGTATGAACTGCTAAGCAAACCATTATGTGCAAGTGAAAAGATCTCATTTTGTAATCAGGTTGCTATAGTTCATTTCTGCCTGGAGAGTAAGAGGTAGAGATATCCTAAAAAAAGTGTAGCTTTTGTTAAATCATCTCTAATGGACAGTTTGCCAACTTCCAGATACCACAGGCTCCTTGGTGAAGTGGACTCTTGCACATGGATAGGAACAGAATTAGTTGGAAGTGAAAATATCCATCTTGTGGCAGCTTAACTTGATCACTCCTCAGTGCTCATTTTGCGTTCTTCTGCAGTGGAGGAGGAGCCAAAAGGGAAAGCTTGGACAATGCTCCACTTGCATTTTGGCATCGCACAAAACTCAGGTTGCTTGTACATGTATTAAACTATTGTTAACTTTTGTAGGGTAAATGCTTTCTAGCAGAAATGTGATATTTCCACAGGGACCCTGTAAATCAGTAGCAGAGCCAGAAACACAAGCCAGATCTGTTTATTCCCACTCCGCTGCTTTGTTCACAGTGGGACCATTGCCTGGGCAAAGGATCTGCCTTAAATTCCATTAGACATAATTCTATTAATTTGACATTAACTCGGACTTAAAGTGTACATTTGTCAGTGCATAGCAACAGCTTGTGGGAGGTGCAGCTGTTAAAAAAACCTGTTACATAACTGAATGTCTTTCACTTAGTGAATAGCCTTCCTGGATATTTTATGTGTGCATATGTGTTGTTATTTTAAAAAATACAATGTTACACATATGCCAACACAGTTTGAATGATGGACTTTTGTGATCCGTACAAGGGAAATACAGACTTAGCTTCTTGCGCACTAAAACCAGGTCTCTGATGCCAGATTGTTGTAATCACCAAGGCATTCCATGGCTTTAATCAGATCTAAGAAAAACAGTATTGTGATTCTCTCTTCTTTGCAAAATAATTACTGCATAGGGACTTGAGTAGAGAAAGTTGTTCGCGTGTTGCTCAAACATTTCCTTTTAAAGCATGAATGGTGCCCTGCCTTTCACAAAAAAGAATCTTCAGCACACAGGAAGGTTCTGTTACCTTATCACTGGAATATTATGTGACAAACATCTTCCAAAGCTGAACCCAAAGGCTACAGGTTGATTCCTAGTATCTTTACATTGAATAGGCTTGGTGGGAGCCGATACCTCCACCCTGACTACTTCATGCCACATCCAGAAATTCCCCACAAGCTAATTCCCCATTCCATAAATATGGAATAAAATGGGCTATTGCGCCGGGGGGCTAAGAAGTAAGGAAGAGATTGTGCAAAATCAGGCAGAGGCACTGCCATGAATGGAATAGAAGGTATCCTAACCTGAATTTGCATTGCTTCCTTCTTTCTTCTTAGCTCCCCATGCAACAGCCCATTCCACTCAGTAGGGCTTGTACCCTTATGTGAGAATACTTTGTGTGCCTCTGGAGTCCGGTGGGAAGATGTGAGTGCAAAAGTCAGATTCTGGCTACCTCATTTGTGGAGAGATATGTGGATCCAATCCATTGTTAAACTTGTACAGCCAGTGGAGGGATCAGTGTATTGAATTCAGACTTGGGAAATCCTGATTCTGATCCCCAGTCAATCATGGAGCTCATTGGGGGACTTTGAGCTAGTCAATAACTCTCACTCTAGCGTTGCTGTGAGGATAAAATGTAGAGGAAGAAGACAATGTGAGCCATCTTGAGTTCCTTGCAACAGGAAGGGAGGGAGAAATATAGTAGTTTGTTTATCTTTATTTATTCCTACACCACCTAATAAGCTGGCACTTTCTGACTGATGGAATATTGAAAACATAAAAAGCTATTGTGCTAGCATCCCTTATTTGGACAAGGTGCTCAAGAGGGTGGTGGCTGGGCAACTCCAGGTGCTCTTGCAGGAAACTGACCATCTAGACCCTTTTCAGTCTGGTTTCAGGCCCGGGTATAGGACAAACTGCCTTGGTCACTCTGTGGTATGACCTTTGCTAGGAGAGCTACAGGGGGAGTGTGTTCCTGTTAGTTTTCTCTCTCTCAGCAGATTTCAGTACCATTGACCATGGTATCCTTCTGGCCGGGTTGGGGGTCGGAGGAACTGCTCTGCGGTGGTTCCACTGCTACCTGCCTGGCCAATTCCAGATGGTGTTGCGGGGGGAGGGGGTTGCGGCTCTTCACCATGGCAGTTATGCCATGAGGTTCCACGGTGTTCCGTTTTATCTCCTATCTTGTTGAATATCTACATGAAACTGCTGGGAGGAGTCATCTAGAGGTTTGGGCTGAGTCATCAGTATGCTCTACCTCTTGTTTACATCCAATCCAGGTGAGGCAGTGACGGCTCTAAACAGGTGTCTGGTCAGCGTGATGGGCTGCCTGAGGGCCAATAAATTAAAGCTCAGTCTAGGTAAAATGGAGTGTTGATGGTGGGTGGGCTGGCTGTTCGGGTGAGTGATGTTTGCCCTGTCTTGAACAGGGTTGCACTCCCCCCGCAGGCACTGCAAAAACTCCCATGAGAAGCCATATGTTGCCCAATCTTGTTCTATCACAAGATGGAATAACAGTTCTTGGGAAGGGGAGAGTTTGTAACTGGTGACACAAGGTTGGATGCTGATCAACCATAACCATAGCACTGGCCTTGTCACTGCTCACAGCCATTCTCATGGTGAGTGGGGTGGTCGCAGGCTTTGAATGACCATTCTGTGCTTCCATCAGAAGAAAGGCAAAATGCAGCTAACACATTCAGTGGTCTTTCAAATGTGACCATCTTGTTCAGAATTGTTCAGAGGAATTTTAGTTGATAAATTCAAGATAAGGATCAAACTTACTCTTGCTATTATTGAAAAGAAAAATGTCCCCAAAATAATGAGTTATGCAAGGTTTCTTAAAATTGCAAGGTTTCTTAAAATTGTAACATAATTTGTTGTTAGTATCTAAAACGTTTCCAAACCATTCTACTTATGGATGATCATACGAGATGTTTCAGAGTAGTTTTCAGGATCCTTAGATTTGTTCACATGGCTAAATGAAAAGATATTCTGGCACTAGCTTTTTCCCATGCTAGTGCTTAGTTAAATTTGGTAACAAATATTTACTTTTTCGGCACATCATAACTTTGCCTTAGACTTCCGATTTTCACCCAGTGTGCTTTAGATGTATAGCTTAAGCTCAGAGTTAGCAACATTAGTCACCTTGTTTATAAAAAGAACAGTTGTATATTTGTTTTGTTTTGTTTTGTTTTTTCTCATTTTGCCAAGGCCTTCATATGTGTAAACAGGATACTGTGCTCCCCCTTCTGAAATAACCACTTCTTTGCATTTCAAGTTAAAGTTGTTTATGTGTTGAGTATATCACACTGAGAGCCAGCATCTGGTCCCCACTAGGCTATGACACTTACGAGGTGACTCAGGGCCAATCACTGACTTTCAGTCTCATCTATCTCACAGGTAGGATAAAAAGGAGAGAGGAAAGCATGCTTCCTGGTGTTCCTAGCAGGAGGAAGAAGGCAGGGTATACATACATTACCATCATACTTGAATGAAGGACTTAGATATTTGGCTACACTAGGAGTTAACTATGCTGCAGTTAAAAATTGCTTTATTGTGTGAAGTTTGGCAGGCTGTACAAATTAGGAACATTTCCATGTAAGTACATAGTTTTTCCTGAATTTTCTGGAGTCCGTTAAAGAGCTACACAGGGCAAATAAAGCCCACCTCAGCTATTTCTTTGATTATTCCACCTTTGTCCCCTGTTATTCACATTAGGAATGGCCCATACATTGAGTTCAGTCCGAACTTGTCCTTGCATAGTGGTGCTTTTCTACCTTCTAACTACATACCCAAAAAGCCATTCTGGAGAGCAAGAATTCACTTTAACAGTAGCAGAAAGTTGGTTATTATGATTTAAAGTGATGAAAAGTCTATGCATGGGAGAGAGAGATAATTCAGACTGAGACAACACTTTATTCTGAAGAGCAACTGAGAGGGGAAGATTGGTTTATTTTTGAAAGAATCTTAAATCAATAATTGTACATATTTCCTTTTTCATTAAAAAACCGCTGGGGGGAGGGGCTGGAAGTGAATGACTGTGGGCATCATTAGAAGTGCTTATGAAGAAATCAGAGGTTCTGTGGGCACCACATTGGGGATCCCTGTTTTAATTAGAGAAGGCAGGAGTTGTTCCTAGGATCTTTTAAGTAATAGCATAATCTCTGCTTTGGAGAACCTAGCTCCTTCCCAACTAAGACTGTATTGGGAACAAAATAGTTTTGGGGGTATAAAACGCAAGAACTGTTAATTGACTTAGGAAAAAACTACACTTTGTTCATGATGATCTTTGGAATTGCCTTCAGTACTTGTTCAATGAACTTTAAAAAATGACAACTCTACAGTTACTGTATTTGGAAAATTACAAACTGATCATGTGTTGCTTTTTTCTTTTTTGCATTTCAACAAGATTAGATTATTATTCTTTTCATCTTTTTGTGATTGTTTCCTTCAAGGCTGCTGTTGTACCATCTGCACAATCTCTCAAGCTCACTGACTTCTACTTCAGTGACTTTGAGCTGTCAGACATGGAAACTTCTCTGTGTACAGTTCGAATGTTCACGGACCTTAACCTCGTGCAAAATTTCCAAATGAAACATGAGGTGAGTATCTTATGGTATCTGGGGCATGATCATTCATGTCCTGTGAACAGTGTACAGCGTACACTCTTCAGTGTAAATAAGTGTTCATACTGATGACTGTATCTAAATAAAACAGAACGAAGCCCTACACCTGTCAGCATTCTTGAGCCAGCCCTGGTAGCTGCACTGTTTGTTTTACATCATCCATGCACTATTAGAAATCCAAAGTATTGTCATTGCTAAGACAGCATTATTCCCACTTTTGGTAGGCTGATTTTCCCAATAATGAAGCATCCCACATTTGGAGGCATCACTTTGAGAAGCAGTGTTTGCCTGTGATGTCTAATGAAATACCCCCAGGTTTTTCAGTCGGTAGATCTCTCCCCGGTTCCCACCCTGTTTCACAATCGGTGAGTTTCTCAGACCTCTAGAACAGATTTTGAGGGCGTGCTGCAGGGGAAGAGTTTCCGCTGACAGAAGCCGTTTTGTCAGTGGAATAGCTCAAGTGGCTGAATCCCTGGCTTTCACTTCAAGCAGCATCTCAGAGACCACCACAGTTCAAGCCAATTTAATTTAATTTATTTTTTAAGGTATGATGATAAGGATCAGCACATTACATTAATAACATGTGCAACCTAACTAAGATTCTATTACTAAGTTAAATATATTGCTATTTGGCGCTTGCCCCCTCCAGATTCTCCTGTGAGTTTAAATATATCAGTTTACATTCCTCTTTCACAAAGCCTGTGAGGAACTCAGAAGAAATATGTGCTGAACTGCTGGTAGACAGTTTTGAATTTGTTTCAGTGAAAACAATGAAGATGGTGCATTTTATACTTACAGTGATGTTTCTTAAAAGGTCCTTTGCCGATGGATTTTAAGTGTGAGGAAAAATTACCGGAAAAATGTTGCCTATCACAATTGGAGACATGCTTTTAACACAGCCCAATGCATGTTTGCTGCTTTAAAGTCAGGGAAAATTCAGGTATGCTTGGATATATTTATTTGTATTAAGGCTTTCTTTTAAAATCTCAGCCAGACTGTAGCAGACACTGCACTGAAATCTTATTAAAGGCTAGTGCACAAACTTAAAATATCTCCATGTGGAATATCCCTGCGAATGGAAGCACATTAGAAATACAATATGTTGATCACAGTATCTGTAGCCCCATAGACATCTGTAAATGAGGTGGCTTGAATTAATAGCACCATGCAGTAATTGTCACGGGAGAAATACGGAAGTTCACATGTTATGTCCGTCATGCATATGCAACTGAGAATTGAAGGCTGAATTATATAAAGGTGCTACTGCCCATGTGAACAAGTCCTTAGGTTTTCATTGGCTCCTGTGAAGTCAGTTGCCCCCATTTTAACTGTGCTGGTAGGGCCATTCTAAGAAATTTTCCTTCCTGGAGTGGGAAATACTATCCCTTTCCCCCATTTCTATTCACATTCACTCATTTTTTTGTGTCAGCTAAGGCAGAAATTCCTGCAGGCACCTTTGGCCATTCCAGGTAGTAAAAATATAGTTGTAGTACATTAATTCATTCTGCTTAATGCTAGGGCCAGCCCTAGCTCCGGCAATCCAATATACACATGGATTGCTGCACAGTTAGTACTTAAGCAAACAAGTCTCATTAATTTTGGCAAGTGTTCCATGTCTAGAGCCTTTGGACTAGGGAAAATTAGAGGCCTGCTGAAGAGGTAGGACACAAAAAGAGCAAAAAACAAAGCAGAAGCCCTCTTGTCAAGCTCTGGAGCTTTTTTTCAGGTGCTGTCCGCATAGCTTGACTGTGTGTTTTCAAATTTAAGCAATAAAAATTTAAGCAGTATGTTTTCTTAAAATCTCAAGTCTCATAAATCGAAGTCATAGCAGAGAATCATGAAATGAAACAGGCCTACCTGTGTTTGAAATAAGCTAGGTTTTTATGCAGTTAATATCATATATATGTTGTTGAACTTCTATTCAATAATAAAGGAAAACTTTAAGATGCAAAATTGTATCCTGATTACTGCTGGGCTATTGTCCAGACTCTACACTTAAAACTATAGTTCTGTGACAATTTAGGTTGTAGCACATTTTTACTAAACAAACATGTCATGTTCACAAATCCAGTTAGTTCTTCTGTGAATTAGTTTGAGAGACCTTGACCTATGTATGTGTTCAAAATATCCACAACTGAAAAAGGAAACAATATGTAATTAAAACCAGATTTTTTTAGTAAATATAATCTTTTTTTCCTTCATTTCATGATACTCAGAACAAGCTTACTGACATTGAGGTACTTTCTTTGCTGATCGCAGCACTGAGCCATGACTTAGATCACAGAGGAGTGAACAATTCTTACATACAGAGGTGAGTAAAAGAAAATTAAAAGGAGAGCAAGTGGATGTTTGAGGGATGCTCTTGCTTTCCAGCTCAGATTGCTTTTTGGAACAATAATATGTGCATGTGTAGCTTAGACCACAGGGAGACAAACCAGAGGAGGAGCAGTTTAAAAGGGACCTCTTAAGCAATGAATAGCCTGTTTAGGCCAGTGAGCACTTCAAGAAGTTCCCTGTTCTGGCCCTTTTGTTTGAATAGTACATCACTATAAAAATTGATTGTATCAATTTGGTATCAGGATGGAAGCTTTACCTAGTGGAAGTTGTTCATGTACCTAGTAGAGGTGATTAAGCATGTCACTGTTGGCAATTTTTAAAAAACCCACATCTTCATGGATGCCTTGCCCTTTTCCAGCAGAACAGCAGAGTTGCATAGTAGCTGTCAGTGTCAAGTAATTTACAGAAATGCCTGTGGGGTCTCACCGACTCCCCAGTTTTAAAACTTAACACATTGTGCCATTAATATAATTAGAAAAGTTACAGAAGTATGACAGTGTAACAGTCATGAATTACAAATTCCCAGCGACAGTGAACAACCATTGGCCTTGCAACCATAGCGCCCTCTGTCCAAGCTGCCTGTGCAGGTTGCCACATTTCGCAACTGTAAGTAGGATAGGCAGAGTAGTTCCTCTTCGTGGTCTCCATGCAATCACAGAAATGGGCTTTGCCATGCAGCACAAGGCCTGTTAGTTCAATGAAGTAGATGGTCACTGTGCTCATGGGTCATTGTGTTCAGCATAGAGATGACACCTTAGTATCAGCACAGGTAGCTGAGGCTGTTTCTCTTGATGTCTCAGTCTAGCTGGCGGTGCCCCTAAATTCAACCCAGGGTTTGGCCAACTGTAGACTGAAGTCTGCTATGAGAGCCAGTATGACGTAATGACTAGAGTCTTGGACTGGGACTCAGGAGATCAGGGTTCTAGTTCTCCTTTAGCTAGCTCACTGGTTGGTTTGGGATCAGTCATGTACTCTCAGCCTAACCTACCTCACAGGCTTGTTTTTGTGAGACTAAAATGGAGAGGAGAACCATGCAAAAAATCCTGGTTTCAGTGTGTTGAGAGCCAGATTTTTCTTAGCTAAGTCTCTTACTGCTGGTGAAGAAATTATTGGTTATGGTTTGTCTAGAAACCTAAAAATATGATGTTAGTTTATCAGCTGCTATTCAGTCTAGCTACTTGGAAGTTGTGCTTCCTAAAGCAACCAGAAACAAGACAAAACATAGTTTCCCAAACAGAACAGATACAATGAGTGAACAGAGGGGTCTGCCAGTCTGTTCCATTCTGCAGACAAGCATTCTAGCAGGCACTGTACTCTGATGTCTCAGTAGCCCAACCTCAGCAGAGGCATATGGATTATCCTTGTTTCAGAGACCCCCCTCCCAACTCTCCCTCCCTCCCTCCCTCCCTCCCTCTCTCTCTCTCTCTCTCTCTCTCTCTCTCTCTCTCTCTCTCTCTCCTGTTATAACTATTGCTAAGGTTCCATTGATGTGGCCCTTTTGGAGGTCTAGAGAGCTTACATTTTCCTGGTTACTTAGTATTACGACATTATCCTGTGATGGTGCTCCCCCCTTGCCTCCAGTTTAAAACGTTATATGAAAGTGCAGCTATGGCTAGCTTATAGTATGAAAAGAAGACTCCACTCTTCATTCAGTTCCCTGCTCAGCATCCCTTCTCTTCCTTCACAGAAATCCAGCAACCTGCAGATTTGTGGTGGCTGGGACCAGTTGGCTATTTTTTATATTCTTTATTTAAGAATATATTTCCTGGAAAACATCTGGAAACATATCATCACCCTTCCAAAAATGTCTTGGGAAAATGTTGTCAGCAGTGAAACTCAACACTGACACATGCCACAAAGTAGAGACTATTACATTTTCAGTGTTTCCTTTTTAAACTAAAAATGGTTCTATGGATTTTTAAATAATCCCTCTAGCTAGAGAGGACAGATGAAAATAAGGATTAATTATGTCCTTTGTGGGTTGTGGGAGTAGGAAGACTTGGGACACTTGGCTGAAGTGTCTCCTTTTGGAAGACAGTTTTAAAAAATTGAAGCTGTAAACAGGAGGAACAAAAAATGAAGTGTATATTCCTATCCATATTTACTTAGAATTAAGCCCCATTGTATTCAGTGAGGCTTACTAGCAGGGAAGCTAGTGTGTGGTAAAACAGTGGAAATGTAGAGGACTGTTGGTTGGCATAAACCTTTCCCCCATCTTTTAGAACTGGGATAGGCAATATTTTGGGGCTATGGACACTTCCGGCTATTTGAGAACAATCCCACACACCACCCAAAATGGCTGCCATGGAAGGTGTGGCAAAAGACAAAGTAACCTGCTCAAAAGATGTGGGTACAAAGCAGAGGTAGCACCTGAATTCCAACACACTGAACAACTCCTTTAGAAGAGTTGTTGTACTACAGAACCTGTAAAAGTCTGTAGTAGATACTTTATAGGCATTTTCAGTACTTAAAAGCATCAGTAACTGTGTAACAAATTACATATTTGACTATGTAGTCTCTCATTTACTCAGATATAGCCCATATTCATGGAATTATAGTCCTATATTCTTGCTAGGCAGAATTGGATAGGAATATTAAGAGATGAATGTCATCCCTAAACCAGGACAGGCATGAGGTAGTGTATATCCCAGCTTGTCTGCTGCTTGTCCCTGTTTCTTGGGGCCTTTCTGCATAAGGCATTTATCATATGTTCATAATTCCTTACTCACAGTTGTTTCTGTGGTGATAATATGGTAATCTTCCAGTTTTGCTTCTATATCTAAACAGTTCATACAGCAAGTTTTTTAGAGCAAGAAGAAAGTGGCATTTAATTGTAAAAGCAAAAGAAAATGTTTTACTTGTATATTTGTACTATTGCATTTTATCACAGTGCCACCTAGAGATTATTTAGCATAATGGGAGAAAGGAAAGGCTGTTCATGCAGTAGTGCTCTCCATTTGCTACAAAATCAGAAGTAGATGCAACAAATTAACAGCCTTACATTTGTTTGTTTTTAAAAGTTCCCACACTTGGATTCTACCCTGGTTATTGTAGGGGGGTTTTTTTGCTGCACTTTCTTATCAATGGAGGATACAATATTTATTGTTTATAAATATAGCCCTTTGACATGAAGTGGTTTGGTTAGTGAGAGACTCGGGGATACAAGCTTGGGGGATTTTGTATTTTAAAATTGTACTCAATCCACCATTCTTCTTTGTAGTCATTCAGTAGTCCTCCTATCTGTTTGTGCTCTGCTCTCCCAAAGCACCTGGAGTACTTGAAGCTGAGATGGGAAACAAACATGCTTCCATGCTGACCTTTGGAGAACCAGAGGTCAGGGTGAAGACTCCTGGGAGAGGGCATGGTCCTGGCAATCACACATTTTGATTGGTTACTAAATCCAGGGGGAAAAATAGAAGGACCCTGGGTAAATAGGTTTTTATGTTATTTCAAAGACCTGCAGAAACTGTTTGATCAGTTCCAACTGTGGAGGGAAAGAAGCGGTTCCCTCCCAGACAACTTTCAACCATCTTTAGAAACGGTTGACTGTCACAAGGCCTTACAGTGGATGGTTTTTTTTTCCTTTTGGGGCTTTCAGAAGTGAGCACCCTCTTGCCCAGCTGTATTGCCACTCAATCATGGAGCATCATCATTTTGACCAGTGCCTGATGATCCTGAACACCCCGGTAAATAACTTTTGATTTTGCATGTACTGGAAGGAAAGCTTGCATGTTCCATTTTTATTTTTAGCTTTGGATGGAGTCCCGACATTATGCATTCTTAAATATTTTAACCCCTTTACAGGGTAGAGAAAGCCAACCATTCTTAGAACTACCAAGCTTTTCTGAATGCTGCTTGATGTCATTCTGAATACAGCTTGATTTCGTTCAAGTTAATGCTGCAGGGAATTAATTGATGTCGTTTTCAGTGCCAACTGTCTTGGATCCAAAGAAAAGGGAGAGTTTTGGGTAGATCAGTGCAAACATAATTCTGTTTGGATGGGTCTTCCATGCTCATTCTTTTAAAACACTGCAATAAAACATTTGGTGTCACATGGGGCTGTGATGTAATAGCATCTCTAAATTGTCCACCTTATTTTTGGGTAGAGAAATGAGGGGAGAGGAAACAATAACACCATTTTATGTAATTTCTGCAGGATGGTTGAAATTTTCTGACACAGCTTCTTTCATGTCTCCTAATGGTTTTGTTTTCTTCTGTTATGCTCCCACAGCAAGTGGCAGTGGCAGTGGCTGTTTTGGCAGCCTCAGATCTAGCAGATTTACCCAGATCTAGCATTATTCCAGAGCATGTTGAAGGGGAAACAGCAGCAATCACAAAAAGCATGCAAATGCACCCCCTCAGTAACATTTTTCTAAAAAGGGTGAAAAAAAATTCTCAGGCATTTACTCAGAAAATGTCTTCAGAAAAATGTTGGCTTAGCTCTAGTGTCAAGAACCATAAACCGACATGTAGCAGCCCAATGCAGCCTCCCAAGAGATGGAGCTGCTGGTTGTTACATAGAATAGGTCCAGCCCTTGTATTCTTTCTTTTGGGTAACAAGTCGTTTTTATTTTCAAAGCAAAATCTTTTCAATTGAGAAGTTATGAATTATACTGAATTTTAGTCTAAGTTTAGTCCAGTCCCATTCATTTCAACAAGTCCAAGTAGGATTGCAATCCTGTGCACACTTACTTGGAAGTTCATCTCTTTGAATTAAATGGTACAGCTATAAGACTGCACTTTTATGAAGAAATGATGTGCCCTTCTTAAGGCCTAATTAGCCCCTGGAATGTGGGAATTTCTTCTCATATCAGTTTTACCAGCAACACTAAGATCTTTTTTCCTTCACCTGTGCGGGCTCACTGAGGAAAACGGGGTACTGATCTGAAACTGATAAACTGCCAAATTAGTGAAACTTTCTATGTGTAATTAAAAAAGTTGATGACATTTTTCTTGATGGTGTTAACTTTTTGTATGTGAAGGGCAACCAGATTCTTAGTGGTCTTTCTGTTGAAGAATACAAGGCAACCCTCAAAATGATCAAACAAGCTATCCTTGCCACCGATCTTGCACTGTACATTAAGTAAGTTGAAACTACTTTTTATTGTGTGTGGGGGGTGGGGATCTTGGGCATGCCGTGCCACTATTCGGCTCTGGAACTTTTTAATTCCCTTTTTTCGATTGCCCCTTATTAATATGAAATTGTACAGCAGCTGCTCTTTGAAGCATGTAGTAAGTAATGAATATTTTATTATGTTTTAAGGAGAAGAGGAGAATTTTTTGAACTTTTGAGAAAGAAGCAGTTTAACCTGGAAGACCCTTATCAAAAGGAGTTATTTTTGTAAGTTAAAAAGGCCCTTCCTGTACAATACAGTATGTGGGTTTCTGAGACTTCAGCTCATGTTTTGTTGAGTGTTCTGGCCAGGAGTATCAGGGCTTTGATTTGATTGATTGAGGGGCTGGGCTGTAAGAGAACAAGAAGAACTTTTCTAATGAATGTTGATGAACAAATGGCACCTTGTGGTTATGTGAGCCTTCCTAATTGGGCGTAGAATGTTTCACAAAATAGCACATTGTTCCTTTGGTGAAGGTGCATTGTCCTGGGGCACTGATCTGTTACTTAAGTTTCAAGAAGATTATTTATTCTGCCCAAGAAAAGTTAGGCTGAAGTAACCATAGTTCTCCCTGCAGAGTGTTAGTCCTGAAGCAACTGTGTTGAATTCATCACCAATTTAACACAACTCTGCCGGACAACACTGCATGTAAAAGTAGGGAAGAAGTCATATGACCTTCTACATTTGGCCAGATGTGGGTCAGCTGGTGTTGACCTGAACATGTGAGGACTCACTTAGCTCTCCTCACCAGTGTACAGTGAGTTTGGCAAGCCATGTTGTGCTGGTGTGTTTTCCATGGGCAGCTGGTTGGCCACTGCGTGAACAGAATGCTGGATTAGATGGACCCTTGGTTTGATCCAAAAGAGCTCTTCTTATGGTCTTATGTTAAATTTATCCAATCCACATCCAGCCACATACAGTAATTACGGGAATTACACTGATCTAATTTCAGAACACTGAAAATTGCATGGGTCTCATTCCCATTATTAATGGGACAGGAACTAAAAACACCCCACTGTTGTCAGCAAAGATTATTTTTCCCTTGGAAAAAGTTGGGCCTATTCATTCTGTTTATAGTCATCACAAAGGAATGAATTTTATTTGGCAATGCTATTCCAGAAATAACTCGGAGAGAGAAGAAAGATGACACACTACACAAACACAATTCTAATTGTGCTACCTTCTGATGGCTATGTATGTAATCAAAACAGAGCTCTTAAGAGGCAATTGGGAGGTGCCAGCTGGTATTGGGAGGTACTGCAGCTATTTTTCACTTCTTGTCAAGAAAGAATGCTCTTTATAATGCCTAAAACCATGTCTATTTGGTCTTTGCAGGGCAATGCTGATGACTGCATGTGACCTGTCAGCAATAACAAAACCATGGCCAGTTCAGAAACGGGTACGTGTTGCCAAAAGCCCCAAACGCCTTATTCTTGAGTGCCTGTCAAAGGGTCTTGCTTCCATTTCCCTCAACATCTTGTTCCTTTGTGAACCTGTTGCCTTCTGTAGATTGCACTAAGAGCCATAGGGCAAGATCTAGATTTAAATGGCTGCAGCTGGACTGGCAGAAGTGGATTTCCCTTTCACTCCTCTCATGGCAGCCCTCCAGTCTCCTGAAAATGCTTGCAATAGGTAACTCAGCCCAGTTTTGGGATATTCTACTCCCTCTGCTACTGAATACTTCCCTGCAACCCTCTGTAAAGCATTTTTAAGGGGCTGAAGTGGAGAAGTCTGTCACTGTCCATCTGGTTGCACGTGACCGAAGATAGAGCCATATGAAAATAACAGGTATGGATTCAGATTTAGGTGCATGCAATTTTGCTGGCGGAAGTAAATATCCACAACTCCCTGCTCTCTGTAGCTGTCTTCTAGTCCCCTGAAAATGCTCAGCAGTGAGCGGATTCTGGTGAAGAGGGTGAGGTGTGGTGCCAGGTTGAGGAAGGGCAGATGCTCTGAAGGGGAAGAGACATGTTATGTGAGTCCTTCTGTCGCATGAGTAAACAGAACACCATCTTCCTTCTTACCTCTCTCCTGAATGCAGCTACTGCTGGTTCAGCTTTCAGTTGTTATCCCTGGAGAAGCAGACTCAAATCTGGTGGTATTAAATGAATGTTATCTTTATTTAGCTGCAGATGAAAACAGATGAAAGCAGATTTTCAAGCAGATTCTTTAAAAAAAAAAAACTTGAGATGTACTTTTTGAGAAAAGATGCTATAGTAAGGATGAGTGAGAAAATTATTGATCACATACTGTTTGAGAGCACAGATACTAATTGGCATTTGTTGGAAGCAAAAGCATGTTCCCACTAAAGTGACTACCAGAGCTCTGGCAGAAGTACAAACCAATGGCACCAAAGCTTATCTGATGTGTTAAAAAACATTGGAAGAATGCTTGGGAAATGGCTCTTCTAAATATTGTATAGTAGTGTATACTTTTCCTTTTTGTTAGCTATTGTATACATTTTATTTCAATTTCTAAAGATAAAAAATTATGTTTAACCCTCATCATGGTTCATGGCCATTTTGATATTGTTTTATATTGCTTTATATTGTTATATATTTTATTGTAATGCAATAGTAATTATGAAAACTAGCAAAGTGGTTCAGATAGTTCTGTTTTTAAAAATGCAGATTGCTGAGCTTGTTGCTGCAGAATTCTTTGACCAAGGAGATAAGGAGAGAAAAGAACTCAACATAGAACCAACTGTAAGTAAATATCATCTTTAAAGAACTTTTCTCCCCCAACAAATGCATTTAGATTGTGATTTTTCCATGTATAGAAGCCAGTGTAGACCTCCTCATGTAGCATCTTTAGCAGCAAGAGCTTTTCCATATGAGGTTGTTAAATCACTTTAATCGCTGAATTGTGATTCCAAGTTCTTCCATAGAGCTTTTCCTTTCCTGCTTTTCTGCTATATAACCTCTAGATGGGGCTGTGCTGAATAGTTCAAACCCTCAAAGAGAAACAGTGCCATTTCCCTCCATCTAAAATGATACTTCAGGTGCTCTGGAAAAACAAATGCAATTAAACAATCACAGCATTGTCTAAACATCCACGATTAAGCAATATAGGTGTGCAAGAAATGCCAGAAATGAGCATTATTTCTTTTTTCTCATCAGTTATAGTTAACTTGGTTTTGCCTCTTACAAAAATGCATTTTCTGCTAAGTATGGGAATGAACATCATAAAGAGAAGTATTTTCCAGCAATAACTATTTGCACCAGCCTTATGTATTTTCAGAGATTTGTTTGTGTGAACTTGAAATCACTCACTTCAAAAGTTCCACTTGTGGTATTATTATGAATAATTGTGTCTTCACAGCATACCTGTAAAGTCAATTAATGGAACTATTGTACAGATGAAAGAGCAAGAGTTGCTAGGATATGACTTGCCTAAAACTTAGCAATATTAGGTGGGATTTGAACCCAGGGCAACACCTGTGGGGGCACACCAGCTGAAGATTGTGACTGTAATACGATGCTGTAGTCACATATGCTACTTAACTTATATAAGTGGCTGAACCAGGTTGTGTTTCTGGCAAATACATAACTAGTGCTCCCTTAACATGAATTTTGTGTGATTTTCCAGGATTTAATGAACAGAGAGAAGAAAAACAAAATCCCCAGCATGCAAGTTGGATTCATTGATGCCATCTGCTTACAACTCTATGAGGTACTGTTTGTTTTTTAAACAGCCTGTGTGATAAGGAGAGATTTCATCTGCATTACCTGCAATTGTAGGTAATTCAATTCAAAAATAAAAGTACATGTACCTTGATGACCTCTACTGCATCTGATCCCCTAGATTATCCAGCTTTTTGCCTACATTTCATTTCTGCTGTCCCCACCCTTGAATCTATATGCCTGATATTTTTTGTTTATTTAAATACTGCCTTCCTTTCAATTTAAAAAAAAAAACAAGTACAGGTATCTTTAGAAGATGGCTGTGCAGATGCTTTCACAGACTTTAAAGTGCATGCAAATTAATGTTTTGGTCTGGTTTTGTGCTGTGGGCATGGACTCCAGACCGTTTCGGTACCTATCACCACTCCTGGGAGGTGAAATTATCTGTCTGAATTGATAATCCAAGTTTTCAATCCTTTGATGGCATATGAGAAAGAATCCCAGTTAGTTTCAAAGGAAATACTCAGAAGCAAATGGCTTTGAAGATAGTTACAGAATTAAGAAGCAGTATTGATCAGAGCTGTCCAACTAAAAGTGAAAAAAAGATCCCTGAAGTAGTGTCTGGGTTTGCTCTCTGATTACTGGGAATAGGTGAGAGTTTGGATATTGGAAGATAGAGGTTAAACTCCCTTAATAGAAACCTTAATATTCTTTTAATTGTTGTGGATATTTCCCTGGCATGTGTAATTCTTTTGTAGGAGTGTAATCAGGGGCCACTGTAGGGTGGATATGAGAGCAGAAGACAGAAACATATAGCAAAAGTTAGCTAAAATTGGGATGCAGTTGGAGGATTGTCAAAATTGTACCCGGGGCTAGAATATCCTTATGAATGTGTATAACTGACCAAGAACTGGATCTTGGGGTTCTGGTAGACTGATTGAAAAGGAGGAAGATCTTCAAAGGAGGATGTTGACTCAGGATTCAGTTAAAAGCAGCTCTGCGACTCCTGTTGTGTTACACACTGGCAGTCTGGTTCCATTCTGGTTCGAATGCAGCCTGTGCAAGGCCGGTTTGCCCTACTAGAGGGTACATGCTCACCCTTCAAGGAATGGGCACCTTCTAAGAGATCATTTCCCTCTTCCTCTGAATAATGCCCTCCTCCTTTGTCGTGGCCTCTGTGCATCACATCTGGAAAACCTAGGGAGCTTTTGATTTTATCAAATCCCTTAATTTATCCTACTGGAGAGAGTAGTGGATTTACTTTTCTGCGGTTCCTTATACTTTACCCTTCTGACTAATAATGGGGGCAGAGTCCTGTGACCTGGTGCCCTTGCCTTGTTGATCAGCTGTCTTGTGAGCTGAGAGGCTTTGTCAGTGGCGCTCATCACACTCTGACAGCCGTATTTTCAGTATTGGATTCAGTGTGCCTGCTATACCAGTTGCTCAGGACCTTGTACGAGAGAGCTGTTGCACTCACGTGTTGCTTCTGGAAACCTGCAAACAGCTCGTTGGATGTTGTGTGACACAGTGCTGGACTAAATGGACCCTTGGCCTGATCCAGCACAGCTCTTCCTACATGTATTTCCCCAGTTACACTGTACATGTATCATAGGTTGGCAACATGGCACCACTATGCCCTCTGATATTTTTACTGGTGCTCTTTTCCTTGTCGTTGTTGTTGTTGTTCTTTCATTTTTAATAATAAAGAACCTTGCTGCCAGCTGGAATCACTTGGAGCAAACTGAAGGCATTTAGCCCATTCCCTCTTTGTGACCCATGGGTGTTTCTGGACTACACATCAGACTCCACATTCTTAGGAAATCAAGATGGCAGCTGGATGTAGTAAAAGGCTTTCATTTCCATTCTGTGGTGGTGCCTGGGATGTTTTCTCAAAATACCAAATGTGGCCACAGGACCAAATGCATAGCCTACTCATGTGTTATAATAAAAGAGGATGTACATTTGTGTCTCTAGTGCCTGAAGACCATGAACCTGAAGCTTGGCAGGCATGCTAAGGAGACGCTGTGAATATCTCAGGATCATTTGGTTTACTTTTTACTTGGTGCACTGATTACTTTTAATTAAATTGACTGTATCCATGTATTTTGCAGCCTGAAGTACTATTGACAGTCACTAGGTGGCAGATTTCCCTAACTAGCGCAGAGCTGCAGAGTCTACACCATCTGAAGCCAGGATGGAGCAGTCAGAGGGGGCAGAGTTCCACTCTTGCCCTCTCCCTGCTACTGTGGAGCAGCCACCTCCCAAGGGAATGGAGTGAACAGACCCCTTCCCCAACAGAGTTATAGCAGTGCCCTGCAGGAGGGGCTGTGAGTGCCAGAAGGTACCTTCTCACTCACACGGAGTGGGCTTGATGTGTTTCATTCTGACACCTGTGCAACATCGCTTTAAGACTTGGGTGTATCAAAGTAAGGGCTGTGCCGACCTGTTGAAAGCTGGTTCTTCCACTGATTGTGATAAAGTAAATATTACAAGGATGCCATAACTCTCCAGTACTTTCTCATCTAAAGCCAAGACAAGGTCACGCTGCCTCAGATTTCTCAGCATGCAAGGGAGTATGGAACAGTATTTACAAATATTTATTAGTTTATTCATGGAACATTGGAGTTGATTTTGGTGTATCCAGGACAATGCACATCATTCAGGGAAACATTTTTTATTTCTTAGGTAATATGAAGACTACCCATGAATGAAACATCTTTTTTTGCCACAGGGAAGAATTATTTAGATTTTAAGCCTGCATAATTCTCAGAGCAATTACTTGTGTGCTCATTACAAGTAACTAGTAAGTTCAGTCACAATTAGTATCTTTGGGCATTTGGCAAGCTGTTCCAGAACTCCTGATCTTCACAATATTAAGCTAGTAGGCTTCTCCTGGACCCTAGCCGTCCACACAACTGATGGCATGACTGACCTTGTCTGTTTACTGCAGGGACAGGGGATGCCTGGGTCCATTTCTAATTATGAACTGCATCCCTCAGCCAGGTGTATACATAGGACTTCAGTTCTGAATGCATTCCCTTCAGCTGCTAATCTCTAAACTTTGATTTTCTGTTCCATGTGCAGGCTCTATCACACATCTCTGAAGCCTGCTACCCTTTGCTCGAGGGTTGCAAGAAGAACAGGCAGAAATGGGAAGCTTTGGCTCAGCAGCAAGAAAATAATCTGATCAATGGAGAGAGCAATCAACCCAAGCGGAACTGAGATAGCACTTAGAAATGTTAAGAAATGTTGGTTTACAGAAATATATATTTATCTAAAGCAATTTGAATATACTTAATGTTTGGCTAGACACTGTATGAAATAGGTGTATAATTTGCCACTGCTGTATTTTAAATAACAAGAGACGTATATTTTTGCACAGCTTTCAAAAGCCTGATGTGAACGTTTCAATGTGTATGATGTATTATAGCTGTATATTTCCAATATTTCATTTATACAAGGGAGAATAGTGAGCAGGTCCAGTTTGCTCAACTTAGCTTTTTATGTTGGTACGGAAAGGGAGAGTTCCTAGGACTGCTTTGGAAGCCTCTTGGTTCTGAGTTGTACATAGTTTTTTAGTTTAGGTCAGTGGCCAGTACTTTCAAGATTACCATGTTTGGCACCTTTTTCATTTGTTTATGTTGTCTGATTTTGTAATTATAAATAATGAAAGAATGACATTACCATTAGATGCCTGAAGATAAGAAAAAGCATGTTAGTAAATGTAGACTTCAGGAGCTGCTGGACCTGTGATCTCACTGCAAAGAACGGTAGTGATTTAGGGGAAAATATACTAAGCCCCAGATTGCTGATGGCCAGTGCCTTGAGGGATGCACTGCCTCTCTGCTTTTCCCTGCCATGAGAATGCTTCAACCAAAGGAACTTGAGCAGGCCAGGACCACTGTGAGAAGTCTGCAGATTAACTGCTTAGTGGTTCTTGGCTCAGGAAGAACCTCTCAGATGCAAAGTTGAAAGAAAAGGAGAACAGAGACAGGGTAAGAGATGGCTGCATGAATATGGGGGCTATTTTCAGTGTGATGGACTTATTCCTTAGCAGGCAAACTTCATGGGATCCTGCAAAGGAAACAGAGAAACAAAGGAATAAGTGAGATGATGTGGAGAGGTGAAGAAAAATGGGCCTTTTCCAGAACATAAGAATTGCTCTGGATATCATAAAATAGAATCAGATCAAAGATATTAGAGATACAAAACAGCTGAGACTACTTAAAGACAACTGCTTCTAATTGAGAGTTTTTATGAGCGAATTTTGGAAAGATGATTGTTTTTGACTTTTCATAGGACCATTGACTTGGAACAATCATAACCCCAAAGTCTTAAAACAGTAAGCACAAGTGGAAACAGCTGAGAGCACTTCAGGGAGTGCTAACTTAGAAAGATAGCTTTAAATAAGTCAAAGAATATTAGTTCAAAAGCAGTCAAAAATTATCTTAAAATACAGTCTTACTGCCTACAAAACCAAGGTTTTGATTAGTAAACTTTGTTTGTGGATACAACTTTGGCTGCAAACAGATGTCTGAAAGGATCATTTTCACATATGTAGTACTTTTTAGGATAAATGAGCACAACTGTCAAATATTTTGCATTTATTTTTGCTCAGTATTAAATTTTATTTTTAGTTTTTGCAAAGCAGGAACAAGCCTTCTCTTCTTGCAGTGCTAATGAGGAACAAGCTCCTTATGGCTCGTTCTTCTTAGCATAACACAAGAATGTGAAAGAGTTCAGTTTGAAGGACCATGAGGTTTGAGTAAGAGATTTTGCCTAATCTTTATGAACAGCTAATATGAGCTGTCTCTTGAACATTCCAAATGATTCGCTACTGGTTTTACCTCCATAACAGGCAGAGTCACTAACCTGTGTAATACGTGGCTGCAGTCAGAAAAAGCCTTAGAACCACTTCTTCCATTCTATGTAATGGGGCTGTTGGCCTGGGAATTGAAGTTCCAAATGCAGGGAGCGCACAAGATACTTGACAATGGTGATATGTTTCCTTGTCAACATTTTTGCCCACTTCCATTTTTATAATCCTAGGGATTGCTCTTTCATAGTGTCAGACAGTAAAATAAAATGCACATACCAATGCTCAAATATTTATTCAATAAAAGTGCTACCTGACCAGTTTCTTCTGTTTTCCATATCCAAGGCCTAAGAGCCATCTTGCTCTTTCATAAAAATCACTTGGGCCAGTCCTTCTCCCTAATTATGTTGCATCAGTCTGGGATGCAGTGTGTAATTGCATGTTGAAAGCTCCACCATATAAAAAGACTCCCTGCACAAAGGCAGTTGGCATGACAGGTAGGTAAGTAGGCTAAAAATAACTCTTCGACATGCTAGCTTTCCCGTGTAAAGGGATGTTTTATCTTTTAGATGGGAGTGTATTTGAATATTCAGTCTACCATCTGCAGTCTGAAGTGGCACAATCCCGGAAGGATCGTACTGTGCTTTTACACCTGCTAACTGCAACAGTCTCACCATTGTACAGTTTTCTGTTGTACAGTTGTTAATTCAAGTTAGTTGTAACTATCAATGAATTCATGTGTCTGGTTCCAAATTTATGTGGATCAACTTCACTGGCAGAAGTAGGATTTCCTTCCCCTTCCTTCCAACGCAGACCTGTCAGTTCCCTGAAATTGCTACACACTGCTGAATAGGGTTAGCTGAGGGGAATCTCCAAAAAGCAAGTTTGAAGCTCTTGATCTCAGGGAAGAATGTTCCTTCGTCTTGAAGAAGACAGGTCCTGGATCAAACCTATTGTAGGTCTTCAGAATGCATTATTACTGAAATGATGTTGCATATACCGAAAAGAAATAACTCTTACCAGGCTGGATGACTTTATGTTTAGTGTTAAATATAGGTTTCTTACTAGCAGTGACAAGGTTTTACTTTTTTATGGTAGAGCTAATATCTGTGCTACTATGTCAGCGGTATACAGTAAAAGAACAGCAAAGCATTGATCTCAATATTGTTGGTCAAGGCATGCCTTTCTGCAGTTTAACAGTTTGGCTAAAGTTAGTGAGGATCCAGCATTGATTGATCACAGCATTTATTGATCACAACATTTTAAGGCCAAGAGTTAGCCTGGTAAAAGACATTTTTGTTTTGCCTCCTTAGCCACTAAGTATTCTTTATAATTACACATGTACATAATATAAAAAGAATAAGAAACTTAATGGTTGACCTTAATAACTACTTTGTTGTGATGCTGATAATAAATCAATAGAATTTCATCAGCCTCCAGCACTAAGCAGCATTCTGAAGCTAAGTAGGTCGCTCAATGCTCTTGGCAGATCAGTGAAGAGAAATGACAGCTGATGGCAACATACATTTCCTCTAAGTGAAGTATTTTAATATTGCCTGATGCATCTTATTTGTCATAGTAGTTCAAACAGAGATCTCTGAGTTCTTGTATATTGCAGGCTACTGGATCTGGAGTACATACCATTCTCTGAAATGTGTGTCTCTCCATAAAAGTGACTATACCAGATTAGAATCTGAATCACATATATAAGGGTATGTTATTAATAGTATTTAATATGCTTATTCCTAACACATTTCATTACCTTGTTCATATGGGCAAGTTGGTTAGAACACGGTTAAGTGCAAATGTTCTTCTAGTCAATAAATTCACTTGTATCTCTTCAGATCACAGTTTAGGGACCACACCACTGCTTAAATATAGTTCTAAAGAAGAGCAAGACCTCTTTAGTTGTGTTTTACTTTCTTTGATGTTGTGTGCTCAAAAGCGTTGTTGCAGCTTTCTAAAAGGCCCTGTTAAGTGACTATATGAATGCACATTAGACATGGAACACAATCTAAGTGACCTGTGTTCATCCGTAATGGAAATCTTGAAAATGAGGGGTCAGATCCTATACATGTTTTCTATGAAGTAAGCCCCTCTGAGTTCAATGGTGGTTACTCCCAAATATGTGTCCAGAGATTTAGGACATGTATATCGGTTGTTACACTCTGATCTTAGATTTCATTCAGGTTCGAAAAGGCTGTCAAGAGTTTGTTGTTGTTGTTATTTATGTACCACCTAGTAGCTGAGTTCAGGGAGAATTTCTTTCCAGGATTTCACTTCTGCAACTTAAAAGAGGCTGAAGCTACTAGTTGCCAGTCTCCATATTACGGCATCCTATGCGCTGCTGGAAGCCTCTGCCCCAAATGAATTGCAAAGAAATCAGAAAGTGCACCTTTGAAAATGTCAGCGTGGCTTGTAAAGGAAAAGTATAATTCTTAAGCTGAACTGAAAAGGAAGAACTTGTGTATGTTTCTGTTTTTCAGTTGACTGTGAGGACAGATGGCACGAGAGATTGCTTACATCTAGACTTAAGGGTTTTAGATGTACAGTCTGTGGGCATTTTGTCACTGAAATACATAACATATTGCTGTTTCCAAAGATTCTAACCAATGGTCTGGGTAGGTTTTGAGGTGGGAGGTGGGATGAGCTTCAAAGTGAAGATAGCTATTTTATTTTGGATATTAGATTCCTAAGGAACAGTGAGCCCCAAAGTGATAGGCGTTCAAGGGAAGCCCCTTGAACGCTTGTTTTCCCCATGAGCTTGTGTTCTTATGCTTATAAGCCACTTTCTTCCTCAACAGTCAACCACTTAACATGTGAGAATGTGCATCCAACTCTAAACTTACAGTAATGAGAAACTTGAATCTATGGCATTTTCTCTTTCTCATATGCAAGTTGTCACTTGGAGTCGTAGTCATCCAGTGAAGACTGCATGCGTAGAATAGGCCTGAAAATAGGTTATGGCTGTTGCCATTTCTAAGGTGTGCTATTCTATAGCAGGATATTGCAACTTATAACATTGAAGAATTAGTATTTGATACTAGACAAAATGTGAAATCTTTGGTACAGAATCTTATCTGAAAACTTTATTTAAGCCAGGTATATTTTGTATTACTTGTAAATAAGCACCATGGTTTGAAAATATCTATGAATAAGCAGGTTAACTCAATAGCTGGCTTCAACTCAGTGAATACAGTTAGCTTTCAGTTGATGGTATACATATTGTTATGTCTCCCATGTGTATCTTAAGTTGTTACAGTACTCATTAAATCCGACTGGGCCAAATCTGAGACTTGTAGAGAGGATAAGGAAGGGCTGCAGAGCAGTGACAGAGCACATGCTTTGCATGCAGAAGAACCAGTTCCAGGTAAAGCAAGAAAACAAAAGCCTCCTGCTTGAAACTTTGAAGAACTACCAGTTAGTGCCAGTATTACTGGGCTGAGTAGACAAATGGTCTGACTCACTATCAAGCAGCTTCCAAAATGTATTGATTCCATATCACCTCTGCTTATTGATAAAAGCTCTGGACCAAATTCTCAACTTCAATAAAATTAACCCAGTTATTCAGTATGGTCAGTCAGCCCTTGTGATTCCATTGGGATTTTAAAGGTGTAATTGAAGTTATGCATTGACTTCTCTAAATACCACAAAACGCAGACATGTATGCATCTCTTAAGAATGTAGTGAAAACACTGTACATACTTGTGAAATACAGTATTTTATAGTTCATAGAAATCCTGAACACTTTGTCACTGCTTGATGTGTTGAGAAACTTCCACCTTTTGGAATCATTTGAACAAATATATTTAGTTTCTAAGCGCAGTATTTTTATACTAGGCCAGGTCATTTACGATGGATGCATTTGGTGTTCTCTTGTAAAAGCATCTTAACTCTGGTAAGTTTCTGAAAGCTTGACATTCTGTTGTGTTTGAGTCACACTTTATTTAAACTCATTAAAAGATTTGTCCCTTTTTAAATGTATTGTGCAGCCTGAGAAAGAAAATATTCAGCCAGGTAATTTTCTCTAAAATGACTCCTCAGTTGACTTCTTTGGGCTTTTTATTATACCATGCTTTCTACAATAAATGCAAGAAGATGGCTATTTTGTTGTTTTCACTTTATAACCGATGAATGTGACAGAGTGTTTGGCCTGTGTAAAAGCTTGAGTTTCGATAAATGGAAGTTTATCCAACAGGTGCCAGGATCCAGGAGTTGAGAGGCATTTTCAAAGTTTTAAAACTAGATGTTTTGTGTATATGCAAAATACCATGGTTTGTATTTTACTGTATTTAAGTTCATAAACACAATCTCTGGGCATCTTTGTTGCTCCATTTCAGAATAGTTTCTGTTAAATGAGGAAGCAAAAGCACAGTGTTTCTTAGCAAGTGCGAACTACTAGTTGGCACTAAAGTCGCATTTCACAGCACTCTGTAGATATACAAGGCATGCAGTTGCAGCGATTCTTCCTTTAAATACAGGAATCAAAATGCAAACATAAAACAAAAACATGTTTAAAAACAAAAAGAAGTGGCATAAAGGGATATTGAAGCATAAGTCGAGCTCAAATTACAGTTACCGAGGAGCAACAGAAATCACGTGTGGGAGCATACTTTGCTGGCTGAGACCCCTATGGAAGGACACTGCGCTTGATCCGGCCATAAATTGTCATTGCACCCTTCCCAGGCAAGCTCGGGGGAAGTCTTGTGAGCCTACTGTGGCAGCTGACTCCACACAGCTGCAAATAGGCAAAGTCACTGATTTCATCCTCCCCCAAAACAGGCTTCTTAAAGAATGAAACCACATCAAATACATGTACATAGAAAATGCTTTTTTTTTTTAAATGCTGGCTAGTTCTGCTGAAATAAGAGTAGGAAGGACAGAACAGGTGGTTGAAATGCCATTTGATTAGTTGGTATGATCACCCATTTCACAATACCTTGGCCAAGGACCGGTGTGGTGTAATGGCAAGAGTCTTGGCAGGGACTAGGGAGATCTGGGTTCTGATCCCCACTTGGCCATAAGCTCACAGGGCGATTTTGGGCCACTCAGTGACTCAGCCTGGCCTACCACACAGGGTTGTTGAGAGGATAAAATAGAAGATGGTGTCCAGTGGATTCTCCTGCTTGCCCTCGTTCTCTCTCCTGCTTGCCCTCGGAGAGATGTCCTCGGCCAGGTTCCTGCGAAGTGGGGCTTGGGAGCAAGAAAGAGGGTGGTTGCTGCCTCCCCTTCACCACAGCCGCTTGCCAGAAAGGCGCTGGGCCCGGGATGCCTCTCTGGGAAGCGGCAGTGAGATGGCGATTCCTGGGGAATCTCAGCCTTCCTGCTTGCTGGCACACATACCGGAGGATCTTCCCTCTGGTGCATGTGGCGGGAAATCAGTTGAACACTTTTTCTGCAGCACTGCCCAGACCCTCTTGCGTGGTCACCTGCATGCATAAGAGGCTTCCCTCTGGCTCATGCTGAGGGGTAGAGGGGCGAGTCGCTTGCTTATGCATGTGTGGGGAGGGCAGAGGGGGGTTTCTGCAGCCCTGCCCGGCTGAGTCACACCCTTGCTGCCGACTCACATCCCTTCCAGAAAGATTTCCCCCATTTTGTGTGAGGGCACAGCAGGCATCCCGCGTTGCTCCAGTGGAGCAGGAGGGGGCAGGGGGTGCCTGATAGCTCCCTGTCCTCTCCGTCGTGCTTCAGGGCACGAGCCCTGTTTGTGCAGCAGAGCTTGCTCGACAGCCACAGCAAGCCAAAGTCAAGTCGTGGCTGCCACAGAAAGGCGCCTCATTCTTCCCTGCAGTCCTTGGATACCACCTGGAGGACGGAGAGGGAAGGAGATGGTGGGTGAACGGAGCGTTACCACAATGAGCCTGTTCGTCCCAAAGTAGAAAATGGTGAAGTTGTGGGAACGTTTGTTTGTTTCTTTGTTTGTGTTTGCTTGTTTCTATATTGCCCCACAGCCAAAGTTCTCTGGGCAGTTTACAACAATCTAAATAAAAATTGCAATAGAAATATTACATCACAATGGCAAAGAATAACTCTGCACAACACCTGTGGGGAAACCCCCTCAAGCCTTGGAAAAGGGCGGCATCTTAACCTCAAAAGATGACAAATTCTGCACCAACTGCGGGGGGGGGGGGCGTCCATATAGAAAGTCCTCCCCGTTGTCGCCATGCTCCATGCTTCCCTTGCAATTGGCTCTCAGAGGAATGTCCCAGAGGTTGAGCGCAGTGTCTGAGCACATTGCATTTAGGAGAGGTGCTCCAACTAGTATTGCGGTCCTACGTTCAGGTAAGGCTTTATAGCTTAAAACCAGCGCCTTGAATCAAGACGAGAAGCAAACGGGCCAGGCCCCATCTTACGTGTTCGGACCTACAGAGCTCAGCCGTTGGTCTGGCTGCTGCATTCTGCTGCAGCTTCTGAACCATTTTCAAGGGAAGCCCCATGTAGATGGCATTGTAGTAATCTAATTCAGAGATTACCAGAGCATAGATTACTGAACCCAGGCTATCCCTGAAGTGTACCCTGCATACTGTGAGAAAATGTGCATATAACATGTCTAAGAGGCTGTAATATATCAACACTATATATATCACTATGTATTTATAAAACAAAACACCACAAACTTCTGAAAGTATTTGCCAGGTCTAAATAAAGGAATGTCATGCAACACAAACAATTTTAGGTTTGACATTCATTTAAAGTATATTTACCCTACCCCATAAACCTAGCTTTAAGGATACCCATCTATCAATGTCCCTTGAGATCACATTAATCAATTTACTTAATTTTAACTTAGTCATTTTCAATGTATCTCTAGGAACAAGTGCTCTCTAAATTGCCAGTTAATATTCTGTGGGTAATCTGCACTCAACATCAACCTCAGACATTGACCAGTTAATAGCATAGCCAGATAAATACTCCAAATTATTAACCATCTGCATCAAAGCTGGTACAGATGACTGGAATTCTGAAGTAAAGAGTGGAAGTTCATCAGCATAAAGAATAAATATATCTTCTAAAGCACTGCACACAAATTAATAAATATGGATGTTTGGATTCCAAATGCAGGTTGATATCAGTGGAGAGAGAAAGGACATTCCTAGCTAGCACCTCTCCCAATTTTTTTTTTAAATCCTCAGACAAAACATAATTGGTCCAAACCAAAGCTCCGTATAAAATTTTAACCCATTTCTGAAAGTTGGAAGGAAAACTAAAATTTCTCCATGTGGCAAAAATAAATTCTATCAAATGCCTTCTACACTTCTAGTGAGATAATAGCAGGTGTATCTGTTCTGGCATTATTTAATGCAATCAGATTTACAATCAAACAGAGTGTTAGACCCCTGCCCATTTTTAATGAATCCCTTCTGATCCAGTTAAACCAACATTGTAATAATTTACTAAAGTCAGTCAGGATTGCAGTTAATATTTTGCTGTCAGTGAAATAGGTTTATAAGTAGCACAGAAGGTAAAGTCTTTCTCTGGCTGTGGAATTTGATTTCCAGTTAAGTGGTATAAAACATTTCTCAGCTTTCTAGCTCCCAAGCTTGTTTGTACAACACTATTTTTGAATTGGGTTCTTTTTTATTAGCATTCAGCAATAGGACTGTAATTCCACAGCCAGAGAAAGGCCCAGATGATTTCCCCGTTTTCATATTAGTTATTGGATTCATAATTTCCCTTAATCTGCAAAGGTACCATTAAAAACTAGGCTATTTAGATCTAGTCTAGGGAAATTTAGATCTAGTCTAGGGAAGGACCCAGGGGCAGCAGGGGAGGGGGAGTATCAATTCTGAATAAAATGTTAAAAGCTGAAAATATGCATTATCGTCAGGGTATCATGTCACATCATCTTTAATGCCTGAAAAACTTCTTTTTCACCTTAGTTAATGTGCTAAGACCTTACTGGTATGTCCACCATTCTCCCAGTATGTCTATCTTAACAAGTTAGTGTGAATTCTACCTGCTGAGGGGGGGACATCACTCAGCTAATATGTAATATGCTGATGAAGTTATCCATTTAGATATTTGTTTTTCCTTCAAAAATGTATTTTTATGAGAAGCATAAACAATAATTAGGACCCTGGGTGGAAGCTTTACTAGCCTTCCTCTCCGTGAAGGATTAAGCCTTCAAGATTAAGCTATCCATTCTCCATAGGACACCATGTGTGGCTGGTCCAGTGAGTAGGTGGCTGTGTTAAGCTCAGGAGGCTGCCCTGAGATCTTGCCAGAAGAATGTCACTCAGACAAGCACTAAAGCCCCACTAACTAATCCAAGCATCCAGGATGAGTAGCTGCGATAGCCAGAGGAAGGCTGTACCCCAGAGCAGGACCTTTTGTGGGTGTATTTGGCTGAGATGGGGGCTTTGCGAATTTGGTCTGAATCCATTAAGAACTTTGTATTAGCAACAGTGTCTCCTCATTTCTTAAGGAATGTCGAGTGCATTTGGAAAAATCCCAAAGTAAATATTAGTATTCTCATATGGGCAAAGATTCTTTTAGTAAATTAAATGGTTTAATAGTTTATCTTGTCTCCAGTCTGGCATCAATTTCATACCTAAGCCTCTTATAGAACACTACTAAGATTGTTTAAAGAATTCAAAGAGAACTGGTGGCAATTGAAAAGCATCTGTCTGTGAAGTACTGGGTTATACTAGCAGGGAGTTCCTTATGTCCTAAAATATTAATAATTTGCTCAACTGAGAGATGCTATAGCTGGGATCTAACAATAAAGCACCAGTTTCCTCATCAATAGTGGAAAGAAAATAGCTTTAAACACAGATATACTCTTTTTTAATTTTAAATAATTAATGAAAATATAAATGTATTGCTCTCTAAGGTACCACAAGGTATGCAGCATTTCTGACATAAATTTTGTCAGAAGGCTTGTATGCATGGAGAAATAATTTGCTGAGCTACTTGTGCAATGGCCTTACCTGCAGCAACTAATTTTAAACGAATCACTTCATTTCTAAATATTGTCCTTATATTTCGGACAATAAAAACTGCAATGAATTTGAGGGATTGCATATTTATTCTTTTATTCATTAAACATTTAAGAATTGATAGGACTTCATTAATCTTACAACATTAAGATTGATATAATATTAAAACATTTTAGGTTTTAGGAGCATGGATACAAAGCTTTATATACAGACATACCCTTATATCATGTAATTAAAAAGAACAAAAAAACCACCCCAAAATACAAATTTATTGGTCTTTAAGGTGTCGCAAATTTGTTGCACTTTGGTGGAAAGGAACAGGTGGATTTTGCTGAAACTCAGCATAGCTGCATATGTATTTGCCAAAGGTAAATTCAGGATTAGTTTAAACTAGTGACTATTTGTGAAATTTTCCTTTGTAGGAATCTTCCCAAAAAATAATTTAAAAGATTTTTATATGCTCTATTCCTTATTTCAATGAATTAAATATATTGCCTCAATTAACTTGGGCAGGCCTGGGATGTATCGTAATTAATTTCACATAACAAACCAGAGTTCGGTAGATTGGATTACTGTACATCATCAAGATGGCGTGAGTGTCCCTCTGTGATACCACCATCATCTGCATCAAAACTGTCAGACTCATTGATGCCATCCCTGCGAGCTATCTTTGGGTGCTTTCCTTAGGCGTCATCTGTGTTATCGTCATCTTTCCCATGGCTTTCATCAGATTTGTCACTGTCGTGTTTGTGTGGTCTCCTTTTGTGCTCATGGGAATCCTCATCTGCGTCATCATCTTCATCGCTGTTCTCATCTGATTCCCCGCTGACATCTCTGCGCCTCCTTCTCCTGAGCTCTTCTGAGTCATCGTTTTTGTCATGGCTTTCATCGGATTCATCGCTGTCATCCTTGCGTGGTCTCCTTTTGTGCTCATGGGAATCCTCATCTGCGTCGTCGTCTTCATCGCTGTTCTCATCTGATTCCCCTCTGACATCTCTGCGCCTCCTTCTCCTGTGCTCTTCTGAATCATCGTCTTTGTCATGGCTTTCATCGGATTCGTCG